ACTAACCCCGGGCAGCCATTCCAGCGGTGCCTACCAAGCCTAGAAAGCGCTCTTTCTTTTTTTTAAAGATTTTATTTTTATTATTTGAGAGAGAGAGAGCGAAAGAGCACAGGCAGGGGGAGGGGCAGAGAGAGAGAGGGAGAAGCAGACTCTCCGCTGAGCAGGGAGCCTGATGTGGGGCTCGATCCCAGGGCCCTGAGACCATGACCTGAGCTGAAGGCAGATGCTTAACTGACTGAGCCACCCAGCGCCCCCCACCCTTTCTTCAAAAGATTTTATTTTTATTATTTGAGAGTGAGCAAGCGAGAGAGCACAAGCAGGGGGAGGGACAGAGGGAGAGAGAGAGAAAGTGCCCCTTTCTAATGGCGCTAGAGTGAATCCACAAAAATCCAGCTAATTCTGGGAGGCAGAAATAAAGAGCTTTGTGTCCTGCTCTCCCTTGTCTAAAGAGAAAGTAGCCGCTCAGCTGCTAACAGTGGCCTGTGTTTGGGAAGGAGGAGGGCTGGCTCATTCCAGGTCTGGTGACATCACACCCCCTCCAGAGTCAACCCCCATCGGTCCTGGATGCTTCCTCCACTCAGACAAACAGCTGGAACAAACAGAGCTCTAACCCCTGAATACCTGTCCCTAGCCCTCCCAGAATTCCAAAGGCCCAGGAGAAATTCAACTTACAAAACACTAAAAAGCCACACCCACTCTGGCTCAAATCCGAGGAGGACAGCCTCACCTTGTCCTTTACCAGGAGGGTGCACTGTGGGGGGTGGGGGAAATGGGCAGTAGTCCTCTGGACCATCAGTTTAAAGGAGGAGTCTGGCTTGACATTCGGGAGATACTGTTTCCACAGGATGGTGCCAGAGCTGCTCTCAATGCCAAAAAGCTGCAAGATAAACAAATAACTGGCTCACTACTAGAAAGACAAACCGAAGAACTGATTCTATCCTTGGAAATTAGAACCAGCGCTATCCCCCACCAAATACTTTTTACTTCCCACTCACGGAACCTCAGAAGGTTCGGTATCCAGGGCTTAAAACCCTCTCACCTTGCCCGAGGCTGTCACCATCACCATCATCTTCTGGAGGTTAAATTCATCTCTGGCTAGGGTGTCAATGTTGATCTCATTCTTAATCTGACTTCGGGGCTTTCGAGCATCGTAAAACATCTTCCAGAGGTGGGAAGTCCACGCCTGCAGCAGGATAAGCTGGGACGAGAGGCGTTTCAGGAACATCCCCAGCAAGCCGTCTGGTGTCAAGGAAAAGGTAACACAACTGAGGCTCACCCCTCATCAGACTAGGGTTTCCAGCAAGGGGCTTCTTCTAATGAGGGGTCTCTCCCACTCCTGTAGAGCACTCAAGTCATCCACACACCAGGCTGCAAGCCCAAAGGGCAGTCCTTTATCTGAAGCTACCACTCTCACACTCGGGTACAGCCATGCAGGAACTTCCAAAACCCATTTTCCTGGCTCACAATACCCCCACCTCCTGGCACCTTGGAAGAGACCAGGAGGTCAGGGATCAGCCATGCAGGACACGGCCATGCTGAGCATGTCTCCACCACAGCCCACATCCAGAATGGCCAGAGGAAGGCATCAGCGTGCCACAACAAAACCAGAAGAGGGGAGGGTGTGGGGGTGCAGGATGCAGAGGTAAGTGTGCTGTAGACAGGCATTTCCCTTACCCACTGCTCTACTCCCACCCTGTCTGCTATTAAACCTACACCCAACAGACCTATGTGCCACCAACCCCCATGGCTATCATTCACCCCTGACCCTGTCAATGAGGACGCCACCCTCAAGTCTCCCCCACAGGGTCAACGTGGCCACCAGAACAAGGCAGCATGAGTAAAGAGCATGGTGTCTGGAGTCTGGCAGCCTGGATTAAAATCCCAGCTCTACTACTTATTAGCTGGGTGACCCGGAAATGTACATAACCTCTGGCCTCTGGTTCCCCGTGTATAAAATCGCATGTAGTCCGAAGACCACATGACCTACACACAGGACTTCACACCATGCGGGGTCCACGGTGAGTGCTCACTAAAAAGTAGTGCCTTTGTGTATCCTACTCCCCAGCAACCTCAGCGCAAGGAAGAGAAGTGAGGGGCAAACAGGACAAATCACAGGCACAGCGGTCCATGCACACACGGTATGTACCTCACTGATGCAGGCCAGAAAAACAAAGAATTTACCAAAAGCTAGCCACGTGGGCAAGCAACGAACAAGAGGGCAGCAGGAAGCAGACTTTACCTTGAATTGCTGGATCCGGGCAGCAGAAACAAACAGTAAAGTCAAATTAATCCTCGGCTCAAGAAAACCCGCAATGCCTACCGGGGTGCCTGGCCCAGAGGAGGCCCTCAGTACATATGGCTGCGGAGCAAGGTGAAGGGACGGGAGGAAGAGGCGGGAGGCAGGACTGACCAGCATGGAGGGAACCGAGTCCACCCTCGGGCTTGGGATTGGCAGGCGCCAGAGGGCACCACCGGTTACCACAACCCCATCAACCCCATCACACCTCTCCAGAAAGACATGGCTGGTGCCTGGGGGACAAGGTGTGACACACCTGCCTGGCAGATCTGAGGTACCGAGGCAGTGGTAGCTATGATTCTACTAAGTTAAGACTCTTTTTCCTCAGGATCTTTCCACAGAGGGGTTCCTAAGTGGCTCCTTCCAGAGAAAAGAATGGTTACCCAAACCACGTGGCCACGAAGGCACTGGAAACTGGTCGCAGAGCTAGTTGCACGCACATGGGCAAAAAGAGTGCCCCCGGGAAGCCGGGGATGCCGTGAGCCAGCATCCCTTGTGGTCTAACTACCAGACCCATTCCCAGAGCAGCGCGCCCAGCCACGGTGCCATCCCGGCGTCCTCTGTGCATACCTGCCTTCTTGCCGAATTCTCCTTCCAGCTCGGCCTGCGCACCCGTCAGGGGCAGATCCACCATCTCCAGGCACACCACCTCCGCCAATGACTCCTCCCGGCCCCACAGCACCACCTTCCCTGCTACAGAAACCCTGGTTACAAAAGCCATGCCTGCCTCCCCCATCGCCTGAAGGCTCTTCTCTGTGGCTCAGGGATTCCAGAAGCTCTCGTGTCAGGCAGAGAAGCAGACCCCACCCTAGAATGCGAAGGGATTATTCAAAAGTAGATGGCATATGGCTCTAAAAAATATTCAGGCCTACACTCCACTGGAATCTCTCCCAGAAGCCAATCCATGGCCCCAAAAATATAGTCTGACTAGAAATCTGGGCCAGCCTAAAAAAAATGGGCTGAATGAGGTCTGCTCACCCAGCTGCTGCAGGAAAAGTAGCAGGTGATCCTCTGTCTGCACCAAGGCCCGGTAGCCCACCGAGTCGTCCTTCTTCAAGAACACCTGGACGAAGAGCTGTAAGCAGAGTCCCAACCACTGCAGTCAGCTGGAATCCGAATGCCTCTGAGCACCGGACCCCCAAATTCAAGGCATCAGGAGTTGTTAAAGGTCCATGACACGGGGTGATTCACTGTCTAAGCAACACAGCTTACTATCTAGACCCCAAGAAGGTAACATGAATGCGTCAGAGCCAGCGCAGTGGTGCGAGGCTGTACCTCAGACCTCTCCAAGGGGGAACCTGAGTGCTTCCCAGACACCGCGTCATCCCTTGTGCTCCAGTCACTCCCCACAGAGCGAGCCGGCGGCCAAGGTGAGAGCTTCCGTTTTGGAGACGAAGAAGCCACAGCCCAGAGAGGCTGAAGAACACCCTAAATGTGCACAGTGGCCACGTAGGCGCTGACCGAAAGTGCAGGCTGGGGCACTGGTGACGTCTTATGAGCCCTGTGACTCTGGACAGGGTTCTGGATCTCACAAGGTCCAGTTTCATTTGTAAAACAAGGGCAATAATAAGCACTTCACAAGGCTGGTGAGAGAGCTAAATTGATTAGGGCGTAAACAAAGAGCTCAGCACAGTGCCTGGCACACTCACCACTTAGAATAAATGATACCTGCTTCAACTACTATTCACGGGGCCTTATAACAAGTCAGCTACTCAGGAAGAACTAGAGCCCATGTCCAGAGAGCCCTAACCCAGGACCCAAGGCCTGGCCGTGAGGAAAGGGAGGCCCATGCTGAGAAGCCCCCGGGACAGAGCCTGAAGACAAAGGCTCCGACTCACCCGCTCTGGCCGAGTGCCATTCTGTTCCAGACTGAAAGTGATGGTGGTATCAAGCAGCCGCCGACCTGTCTCCACTAAGTAGAGATTAATGGTGTAGGTCTGGTTGAAGCAAGTCAGTGAGTCCTACGGGTACGGACAGCAGGGCTCAATAAAGATATCCCCCAAAGCCAAACCCCACAAAGGAAGTCCAAGAATTGGGGTTAACTACCCTAGAGAAGGACCAGGCCAAGAGAAGAAATATACATGAAGGAAAATAAAAGGAAAAAAGAAAGCTAAATCCCAAGGCAGAAATAAAGTATGTGAGTAAGTAAACAGGATAACAAGCACGATACTTGTTTCAGAAGGAAGTCAGTACAGCGCAGCAGACTTCCCCAAGAGGAGGAGGACCCCAGCAAGGAAATCACAAAGCTCTTCAGAAGAGCTCAGGAGACAGAAGACAGAGCAGATGCATGCCGCCCAGGGGCCCACGCTCCACTCCAGCCCAACCGCACAGATCACCGCTCAGCAACACGAGCCAGGGGCGCAGAAGACACGGGGCAACAGAACCGGAGAAAAAAGTGGTTAAGAACAGGTTCTAGGGATTCTACTTCAGACATCCCAACTACAAAGGATCCAGACAAGCATGATTTACGGTGAGCGGCAAACCCCATCTGAGGCTGATAACTCCGGGAGACCCACTCCCAGCCTCCCTGGAGGCCCAGGTCCTGTACATTGCCCAATGCCACACCGTACCTGAGCACTGGGCTTCTCCGCAAAGCTCCCCAGTGACCCATCTTCAGAACCGCTAGGCTTCTGCTAGGGAAAAGAGAAAGACAGAAGAGAACATTTAACCCACAGGGTCACCCCCCAGTCACCGAAATGAAGCCCTCCCTTCTGTGTCATCTTAGCACCTGGGAGAAGACAAACGTCACCCCTCACTCCTGCTCGCAAAGCCTATGTAGCTCCTAACAGCCTCAGATGAAAGTGGGGTTGTACTATGAGGGTCCCACTCCTGGGGACAAGGGGGCTGCTGATGCTGAAAGCGCTATAGAGCAAGTGAGAACTTATTTCTCAACAGCTGCCTGCCCCCTGGGTTCAAATTGCCCCGACTTCTAGTTCTCAGGGCTCCTGGGAGACATAAGGAAGGAGAACCCCCAAGCGCTAGCTGTTACTCTCGGTACTCACCATTTCACTGCGACAAGTCACGACTGCAGCCACTGTCTTCTCCCCAGTGGTGGCAAAGCTCACGAGGGCAGCCTAGGAATAAAGCAAAGTGTCAGTTCCTAAATGGGGCTATACCAGCCAGCGGCCTCACAGAGGAGCATCTCTACAGGGAGGTCCCTCGGCCTTGGAGCTGAAAGTGCTCCTGACTTGGAAGCACAGCAGCCAGGGCACCTGAGAACAGAGGGAGGCCCCAAGGGCATCTATAGCTGAAAAGAGGCCTTTCCCCTACCTCCAACACAGGCACACACTGGCCCTCAATCTCATACTGTTCTTAGTATCCATTGGGAAGCTTGAATTAACATCCCCACTCTCCGTGGACTCAGAGAAGGCGCCACTTTTACTCTAAAGATACTTTGTGACTCTCAGAAGAAAAGGTATTCCGTTTCTGCTCAAAAGCGAACCCTTCTCAAACCACACACAGCGAGATGTCTGGATCCAGAGCAAACACCTACAGATTCAGAGGCAGGGCTTTCCAGTACCACATCTTGGCTAGATCCTCCCGAATCCTAGCACCATGCTGCCTGCGGTTACCTGTGGGAAGGTTTTGAGCAGACTCAGGACTCCGTGATGGTACTGCAGCAGAGCATAGTGGCTCGGGGACAACTGCAGGAAGAACTGGGCCCGAGAAGGATCCACTGGGTTGGGCTGTGTGGGCAGGACCCGGGGCTGGAATCCACCTGCAAATTCTAAGTCAAGAGACTGAAGGGCAAGAAGAAAGAGGATTAGGGCTACATTCGGGCAAGTCACTGATCCACTAATCCGTCCCAGGCCTCCTTCCTCGGCCCCACTTTGCCAGTGAAAGTAACTAGGCCTTGGCATGTGGCTCCAGAAGCCCCCATCCAGGCTCCCTAAAGAGAAAGAAGGTCCATTTCCCCTACACCAGTTCAGCCAGAAGCCTAACCTTCTCCCAACAACTGCCAAGGCTCAGGAAGGAAGCAATGTCACTGGGAGAAAGACTTTTCTAAGCAACAAAGGCAAGGCCTTGGGCCGGGGAGCAGCAACACTACCTCTCACCTGCAGTGGGATCTGTCTCAACTCCCACTCCGTCTCCAGGGCCAAGGTCTGGAGGGACCGTGAGCTCGGGTCAGGGCACACCAGGACAGCCTCATCCACCACACCACAGGCTCCAGTGAGACTCTGAAGCCAGGGGGTTGACACCCTGACCTACAGGAAAGACATCGTAGCAGGAGGTTTGTGAGAATGTTTACATCTTTCTCCCTGCTCATCAGCAAGGTCCCCACCAATCTCACAGGGGCTAAGCTCGAAGGTTCTTCACGGCTGGTTCCAAAGGACTTCCTCCCATCCCTCCCAACTTCTTGAGAGCTCCAAAACTAAGGAAAATCAGGGTTTCCTTTCTGGTCACTGGAAAAATATACCAGGTCATTTTTAAGACCCAATACTTCAGACCACCGTTTCTCTCCCGTGTTTGACATACGTGGTTTCCTATCACTATTTCAGAGTATTACCTCCTAAGAAACTCGCAGGCAATGAAAAAAACCTACATAGTTTTCCAGCCACCGCAGGGGAGCACCATGCATGAATGTGAGGGCTTTAAACAAATGCTCCATGAGGAGAAAGCAGCTTCCAAGTGATCAGAATGAGGGACCATGGATGGCTTTCGCATCTGCCAAGTTCCCTGGTTCCCCGAGGCAAAGAAGGGCTCCATCTATTCCCCTCCACAATCTGCAAGGCTCCTCAAGCCAGACACCTGGCCGTACCTGCTGAACAATCTCTCCATCTTCCACATTAAACTTGACGATGTTCACGTGGCTGAAGGGAACAACTCCGAGGGCCCACACCACCCCAGACCCGTAGGAATACATCATCTGGTAATGGATGCTGTCACTAAGAGAGGGGAAAAAAAGCAAGGAGCAACAGCTTCAGCCACAGGCCCACCCTCAGGGGTCCTCTAGTCACAACCTAGCAGTCCCCAAGTAGGATTTGCTTAGCTCCCAGTTTTGTTTTGTTTTTTTAATAGTCATCAACATTTAGAACTGAGACTTTACATGTAAAAATCAGATTTCTAGCTCTCCTTAAAAAGTAGGAGAGGCGGGGCGCCTGGGTGGCTCAGTCGTTAAGCGTCTGCCTTCGACTCAGGTCATGATCCCAGGGTCCTGGGATCGAGCCCCACGTCCGGTTCCCTGCTCAGCGGGAAGCCTGCTTCTCCCTCTCCCACTCCCCCTGCTTGTGTTCCCTCTCTCGCTGTGTCTCTCTCTGTCAAATAAATAAA